GAGGGACAGTGCAGGAGGGGAAGACCCTCTATGAGATGGATTGATTCGGTGACTGGGGTAATCGGGATGGGTGTGTCAGAGGTGGTGTGGTTGGCGCAGGATAGAGCCGGGTTTAGGGCTGTTGTGCATAGGGTTGCTATGAGTCGGAAACGACTCGGCGGCACATAACAACAACAACAACATTATTAGTTTAGTGGTCTTTGGCAAATTAAGGCTTTCCCCCCCCCCCCAGCTGGGTATTCCAGCATCCTTGAAACTCAAGAATCCCTGAGCCTGGTGTTTCTATTCACTGGGTGGGAGATCCCCAGGCAGCTCTAACCTGACAGGCACTCACAGTAAACCCGTCTGCCTCTCATTCTGACCATGCAGTTTTAAGTTGGTTTTTTCCATTCCTGTACATTAGTTTAGTCTAAAATAACCTAGCTCATTCATTTTTATGACCAAAACATCTGGGGAAACCCAGGCATTTCTATTACATTTTTAACAAGGTAAGTGAGTTTAATCCGTATTTCCTGCAGCTGCTATTTCCCCACCTACTGGGTTTTGGGGAATTCTTTTCACACCATCTCAACAAGATCTCATCACATGGTTTTTAGCAGCAAGCCTTATTTCCATGTTCAAGCAGCTCAGCAGGCACCTGTAAGTCTACAAGGTGAGTAAGCACAAAGCAACAAGGAAGGTCATAGTCAAGGTGAGCTGGAGAGTTCGAGGCCATATGTTGAGATTTGATGGAGATTGTCCAGTAAGAAAGATCAAGACCTTCTTCTTGTTGTTGTTAACTGAGTGCTATTGAGTCATAGACCACTCATAGCGACTGTATGAACAAAAGACCTGAACACTTGTATAACTTTCATCATTGCTCCACGTTCATAGAGTTTCCAGAGGCAAGCTATTTTGGAAGTAGATGCCACTCTTGCTTCCAAGTTTGTTTTAATTGGGAAGCTCCACCAAACACTGTCCACCATGGGTAACCATTATCACATTTGACACATCAGTGTCACAGTGTTTAGCGTCACAACAACCATGAGTTACCTCTGTACAGCAAGTGGACAGACACGCACCCACCCACCCCTGCCAATTCTCCCATTTCCCAGTGGTACATATAAAATAGACTTCCAGTCTAATACATTTTCACTACCATCACTTCGGTTCTAACACATGGTAGGGTGGATAGAGCTGAGATGCCAGTGAGTGGTGGCTCCATCCAAAAGACCGCAAATCCAGGTATTCTGTATAAGGTGTGGTCAAGGTAAACATTATAGCCTATATTCATTCCCTAGGTTGCTGACTGGCAGTGCCAGGCCTCAAGTCTTTTTATCTTAAAATTAGATGTCCAGGCATTAGATCCAGACCTTTAAAACCTTTGTAAGTAACCTTTGTAAGTAACCAGAAAGCCATTGTAAGTAATCAGAAAATCATGTTGCTAAATTTCTGTATGTCTTATTTTACTTTCCAGTAAAATGATAAAAATCGTAGGATTATTTGATTTTTCTTTTGCTATAAAGCCTTTAGATGACCTAGAATACTTCTTATATGTTAGCTAGTTTTAAAGCTGACCCAGTCACTTCAGTTTTTATACAGAAAAATTGAAGCCCAAGGAAACGAAATAATTCAAATCATGCAGCTGACTTACAGCAGTGTTAATATTCTGACTCCAAATACTAAATTCCAGGTTGAGTATCCTCTGCTCTATATCAGTAATTTTCAAGTATTATTTTATTTTGTTAGGAGTAGAACATCTTACTCTTTTTTATTTATAAAATACTGCACAATCACCCCATATAAGTCCTGTCTGTGAAATAGATTCAAGTAACACTGCTCTAGTTGAAATACAGTTTGGAGACCTGGATCCTGTTACCTGTTTCCTCATCACCCTTTGCAAGCCCCATTCCCCTAAAGATTTTAAAAACACTACAGAATTTAAAAATATAAATTAATATCCAGGGAAGCAATAAGCCTTGTCTTCTTTGCATTAGTGAGCTTCCTCTCCTAAAGCGATATGTCTCTGTTAGCACTAGCACTAACTTTAAGATATTAAAGTAAAAAATGAAAGTGGATGAATCCCTTGAAGCTGGGAAAATGATACTCACCAAAGCCCCTTATGCCCATCTTGTTGTCACTTATCAAGGAGCAGAAATCATGATGCTCATAATTTATAGCCTTCGTCTAACACAGAATTGTCTGGCACAGCCGAGTTTTCTTCTCAGCCTTTTCATCTGTCATGGTAATGACTTTGGGTCCCAGTAGGTAGGAAGACGTGGAGATGTACTTACTCACAGGCTTTCTGTCTTCTCACAGGACATGCACATTATCAGCACGGATGAGAACCAAGTGTTTGCGGCCGTCCAAGAATGGAACCAGAATGACACGTACAACCTCTACATCTCCGACACCCGCGGGATCTACTTCACCCTGGCCATGGAGAACATCAAGAGCAGCCGAGGTCTCCTGGGAAATATCATTATTGAACTGTATGAGGTATGTAGCCAAGATTGTCCCATCTCTGGATCAACGCCTCATCTTCAAGAGTTCTGTGATTGTCCTGAGTTCAGATCGCAGCCAACCCTCTGAGCAAACAGAACTACTACTAAGGCCTTTGATTGTGGATCTCAGTGGAATGAAGTCCCTGAGAGCTTCCATCTTTTCTTCCTTTAACATGGTGTTATTTACTGATCCAAGAGTAAGCATTCCCCCCACCTCCTTAATGTTGAGGTTTTATCCAGATTAAGGCTACAGGGTCTTTAACCTTCAAGTAAATTGTTCACATCTTTGTTTTCTCAAGCAACGTTGTTATCTTCTTTTTTTTTTTTTCTTTTCTTATTGTGTACTGTCTAATCAGATCTGACTGGCACAGGAGGAGATTGCCCCTCCTTCTCCAGTGGAGCTTCTGGTGGATTCGAACTGTGCGCCTTCTATATATCACAGGTTGTTGATGAGTCTTCCTCCAATCTTGATGTTATGTTCTTCTTCAGATAGTCTAGAGTCTTAGATTATCTGCTCAGCATACATAGTGACAATATACATACAAAAATCTCTTCACCGATAAACCATGTCTACAGTGAGGATGGCACAGGGTAAGACAGGATTCACATCAGTTGGTCATAGGGTCGCTATGAGTTGTACTTAACCCAATAGCCCCTAACAACACAATATGTACAATTCAGTGGCATTGCTTAAAGCTTTTATTTCTTACATCCTTTTTGCCCCTATGGTCTGAGATATTACAACGCATTAACTTAAATTCAATGCCTCATTCTTTCTCCCTTCTATCCCTGGTAATCACAATTAATTTTTTTTACTTTATCTGTTTATTTCATATAAGTGAGATTATAATATTTGCCATTTTGCAGTTAACTTATTTTTATTCAAAATACTATGTTTCTATAGTGGCTGAGTGATATTCCTTTAGGTGGATCTGAATTTTACTTTCCCTCCTTCACTGATGGACATTCCCATTGCTTCTACCTTTTAGCTATTATTGACAGTATTTCAGTGAAGTTTTTTAAATGGTGCAGAAAATTGGTTATTTCGGTGACCCCAAATTCCTCTAATGAGAGTCTATGAACTTTGGTAGTCCTGAGCACAGCAGAGGTCCTTAACTGACTGCCTGGATATAATGGATTGAAATAAGTAGGGGGGATGTCTCATGATCCAGAATTCACCAATGCCTGGTCGCCAAACCTATATAGACTCAGTTGACTGAGTTCATTTGTAGAAGGCCGCTGCTTCTTTTCTGCCTGGTGGCCTTCAGTGGGCGAGGTGATCTGGTCTCTTGTTTCAGGTTCTGCCATCAGGCCTGGCTTTCAGAACAAGACGGCCATCTATAGGCTGCTGCTCCCTTCCTGTGTCGTGGGACGTTCCTGTCATAGTCCCCACACTGGTGTCTGAGTTGACAGCTCAGCTGCTGAGGATAAAGGATACATTTGTGTTTGTTATTTCTCTATTAGATAGAGAAGAAAGGTGCCAAGATATGGTGCAAAGGGAGGAGTTGTTGGTTGCGTTTGTTTTGTTTTTTTAAAAAAGGGAGTATAAGTCATGAACTAAAAATCAGCAGAAATACTCTTGACATCCCAGGTTGTCGCTGAAAAATACTAAAATAATTGCCTTTTTAATGAGGTCCCAGTTTGGGAAATGACTGTTAGCGATAACTAAGGGACATAAAGTGGCTTTGAGAAGCTTACTTTCTTCTGCCTGTAATCATACTGGAATAGAGAAGTACACCTTTGTTAGCGAACAGTAAGTCGTACCTTGTGGAACTGTTTGGATGAATGTGAAGCTGTGCCGAGCCCCCTGGGCTCCCTCCACTCAAAGGTTCTGTGTATTATACAGGCGAGGCTCTAAGTAAGACTATTATCCATGCCCTTTTGATCAGAAGCTAATGAGAGATGGTAGATATCGATCCAGATGACTCTTCAGCCCAGAAATCCCTGTGTCTCTCTCGCTATTGATATGGTGGGTGAATTTACCATTGTACTGTTTCCTTCCTAGAGAAAAGGAGCCTGGAGTGCAGTGGTCATTTAGAACTGTGAGACACACTGATCTAAAGTGGAGCATGAATCAAAATGAAGAATGAGCCAAGATCCATGTAATGTTTAACTTCTGCTGAAGAACATTTTCCATCTTGGAGAAAAAAAAAATACAACTGTCACTGCACCCAGAGGGAAGCAAGACCTACCAGGCAGAGCGGCTTGAGAACTAGCCCTACTGAGCTTGTTCTGAAGAGCCGATTATGGCGCTGCTCTGTGTGATGGTCCATGAGGAAGGCAGGAGAGGAATGATACACACTGTCCTTCCCCATCTTTTAGTTTGTTGAAGCTTGCAGTTTCATTTGTAGCTCTTTGACGGGAAGAATAAACAAATTCCTTTTGTGTCTGCCCACTGTTAGACCCAACTGAGACAGAGACACAGGGTGAGAGAAACAGATCAAATATAATCTGTGTTGCTTTTAAAACTTATGAATCAGGGTGAAGTCTCTCTCAGGGAGGAGTGATAGGGAATGGCAAGGGACACACTGACAAAGGAGATTAATCAGAACTGGCTTTGACAAGCACTGTGGCAATTGGACAATTAAAACAGACATGGGTGGGGGGAGAAGAACGAACTGGGGATGAGGGTGGAGAAAACAGTGCAGCAATGAATGAAAGAAAACCCCAAATCTCTGTAAATGTTCATTAAAACTAATAAAATTTAATAAAAAAAAAGAAAAAAAAACTTATAGAGGAGAAAGTGAGATGTCTAATGCTCTATCGCAGAACTAGATGCAGGCCATCCAGTCATAAGCAGAGATGATAAATCAGAGACTCCCATGGAAGCTTAATCCAATTGTCTACAGGTACACAGAAAGGGATCCTCACAGGAAGATCCTAAAAAATAAGAAAGGTAAACATGAGTGGGGCATGCCTGCTTCTTTTCTTCAGAGTTACAGATTTGATTATCAAGCCTCTCGCCCTCAGAAGAAAGGAGTGAATGATTGGAAGGTGTTCAGAATATTAAGAACTGTATGATCCAAGGATCGGAGGAACGAGGCAATGAGCTAGGAGAAAAGATGCTTCCAGGGACAGGTGAGGATTGAATTAGGGTTAGAGTTAGGGTTAGGGCTCAGAATCCAGAAGGCATTGAGTGACAAGGACTAAATTGAATCCTCGTCCTAGACTGTAGCCACATTGAAGGATTTTTAAAGAGTAAGGACTGCAGCCTTCAGTATGGACTAAGGCTCAATGTCAAGAAGACAAAGATTCTCGCCACTGGACCAATTAGCAGCGTCAGGATGGATGACGAAGAGATTGAGAGTGTTCACAGCTTCAGTTTGCTCGGCT